TATTATGATCTGAGTTTTGCTGTTTGATTGTATGAAATGAGCGAAAAGTTTATTAATCTTTTAGTAATTTGTTAGGAAACCAACAGTCAGTCCCGGAAAACGCATAATTCCGCACAAAATAGTCATTGATTTGACAGAAATATATTTTTATGTGTTATTTGCAAACATTCAATACGTTTTGATTTGTAACTTATATTTAATATTGAGACAAATTAAACTAAATATTTATATCTAATGTTTGAAATGAAAATATAATACATGTTTAATATAAATATTAAGCCTTTGCTTATGAATCGACGATAGATAACAGCCATCAGTGAAAAAATCCTAGACATTTAACAGATGTTTTATGTTATTTAAAAATTTTAATAATATTTTGCTATTAATATTGTAAAATTTTATATAAATTTTAAAATGGCATTGATATAAATATTTGGATGTCATAGATCTACCACAATTAGCATAACAGTCAATAAAAATCCAGTAAAAAGCAAATACTTATTGTAATTGTTTTGTGAGAATAAATATAAAAGTCCATAAATAGTCTACAAAACCCTATGTTTTCCATAATATTGTAATTATTGTTTGAAATTAAGTTATAACTTATAAATAACTTTATTTTGACCTTTAAATACCGGAATTTATACCAAGATATTTAACATTAATTTTTCACAAGTTTTATTTTAGTTAAGACACTTGACATTCAAAATATCTGCGATTACTTGACGATTGTTTGTTAAAGTTGTATATTTTATTATATTTATTATGCAATTTTAAGTTTATTTGTCTCTCAATATTTAACAAATAAAGACATTTATCTTCTATTTTCAGTTTAAAGTGATTATTCGTATTTTTATCTTAATTTTGTTTAGATGATTGACTTCTCGTTAAAATACCACTAATTTGTATTTTATAATTAGATCATTACACTTAATATTAAAAATATATTTAATTATATTTAAGTTATTACAATATCGATAGCCAGTCAATGATTGATATATACGTAAATATTATTTATTCCAAGCATAATTAGTACTAAAGTAAAGTTTTTGTAAAACTTTACATACATCTATTTTATAAACATCTATTTAAAAATTTATATAAGAAATAGTATAAATCCAAAACACCCTGGAGTGATTAAGCTAAATCTATGATTAAATATTGTATTTACTAGTTATTTTTAAGTTATATTTAAAATTAAATTAAATACAAATAAAAGCCATAAAGAAGTGTTGAGTTTAATCCCTATTAGTAGTGGGAATCGCGTCGTTATAATCGGTTGTGTTTTCTTCCGACGAAACGCTTAATAAATAGACAAATATTTCCATTAATTTTTCCCTCAAATAATGAAACAATTTTCTAATGACTGAAACTTCAGGCTTTGACTCCTCTTTTGCACTATAATAAAAGGGATGGCAATAGAGATATAGAGTACAGTACTTTCATTTCATTGCTATTTATTATCTATACATTAAATTGATATTTTATAAAAATTCAATACTAATTTCAAAAATATAATTAAAAATTAATCGTAACAAATGTCATAATCACTTACGTGACAGTATTGACGTCTGATGTACTCAAGTTGTAGTCTGACCCGTCATTATCACTGGTGTATCTCTTGTCGGTGTCGAGCGTTGTTTTGGTGGTCCTGTGGTAGAGGTCTGTCTGTGCGGTAATTTCGTCGACATTCTGGTCGGAAACGTCCGGTTCGTCGTAACCTTTGTCCGTCTGATACTGTTTATTGGTTAGGCGTTGTGTTGTGTCCACCGGTTTGTCCGTCTGATGTCTGGCAACTCGTGAGTGTTGCTGTGGTTGGTCTGCATCTCTGGTCGGATCTAATTTCTCAGTAATTGTCTTATCTGTGATTGTTGTCAATTCTGTGACAATTGTATTGGTAGCCACTGTTGTGTCAATCGGTTTATTGGTGTTATTGTTTACTTCAATTGGCGAACAGTTATGAAGTGATAGTCCGAAAACAACAACAATAAACTTGATATAAGTTTTCATAATTTTGTATTTCATTAGTGAATATCTCTTATTTTAGTTCAGAACTTCTTTCCGATTCTGTTAATTGTTTATATATAAATGTGTTCATCAGTACCTGTACTTTGTTTTCACTGGTGAATTGTGGATTTGATAACTAGATAAAAATTAGCATCAAAATAATTACACAATTAATTATTTGTTTGTAATAAAAATAACACAATTGTTAAATCAATTCCTCCAAAATATTAATTATTTGGTTATTATTTTAATCTATTAGACGATGCATTGGCTAAAATCCAATTATAAATGATTTAATAGCAAATGACAACTTAATTAGAAAATAACAATATATTGTATTTTTTGTCAAACAGAATATAAGTTAAAAATAAATGCTTTAAATAATTGTTTTGATTGTGGTTTTTATAAAAGGATTCAGTGTTTAATCAACAAATTAATTAATTTTGCTCAAAATATTTAAGATTGTGTTTATTATAATTTAATTACAATATATTAAATAAATACAAGTATAATTTTATTTATTGTTATTTTTAAACTTCATCTCATTTAGTTTAAATGTATTAAATTATAATATATAAATAAATAATTTATTATAAGTCATAATAAGTTAAAGCTATAATTTATAACTATTTTAGACAAATCTAAACTTTCATATAATTGTATGGACTGTTTGAGTGATTGAACTCATTATACAAACCATTCTCTTTTAGAAGAGACACTTCTTATGACATAAAAGTTATCATATATTTTGAAGACAACGAATTGAGTAAAAATATATTTATAAATATCTAAATTTTATTTAAAATTTAGTAATTATATAAAATAGAAACTAAAAATATTGTAAACTCATATGAAAAACATCACGAATTTTTATAAATTTATCAAATATAAAATACAATATTAAACAAAATAAGATGTGCTATAATGTATCAAATAAATAAAACGCTAATAATTTCTATGAAAACAGAATTTCGACGAATATATGGAATAAATAATAATATGAATGAATTCTATGGTGAGAAAAGAGTGCCATTTTTTGGTGCATATTATAGACTATTTGTTGGCAATGTTTGGCATTTGCTTAACGACTTTCTTAACCGCTTTCGCGTTTCCTTTGGGCCGCGTCTGTACCTGTGCTGAACCCAAAGCCGCTTTTGCTCCCGTAGTCTTCGGGTCTTTACATACAATAAACAAAATAATTAATTTGTTGTAATATTAATGTTAAACGCTATACCTGTGGCCGGTGTTTGCAATTGGCCCTGACCTGCACCCGAACCTGAATGTTGACCCGACAAGAGTTAAGCATTTTATATAATTTGACAAAACAATGAATTGATTGTAATATTTATATCAAACACTAAACACATACCACTTTGACCACCGGTACTGCCATCCCTTTCTTTGTCAACATGCCTATCCTTCAAATACTTTAAAACTGATGTATAAACTGGTGGAAGCGGTGGACCCCCACCCGGAGCTTTAAATACAATAAATAATACAATTAATTGATTGTAATATTAATATCAAACACTAAACATACCGTTTGGTTGTTGTGGTGGCGGCACATTGGGTGGCCCTTCACCTATGTTTGAGTGCCCACCGCTCGCACCCGCACTCGCGTTCGCTCCGGCTTTACATATAATTTCACAAAACAATGAATTGATTGTAATATTCATATCAAACAAACCATTGTTTCGGTGGTAAACAAACCTTCTTGTGGTTGATTGCCTAAAGCTAGAGGTCGTATAGTCATGGGGTAGAACATGCCATAAAAGCAAAAAGTCATCCCACTAAGGACACCTCTTTGATGAGTAACATTAGAGACTATTGTCACTCTTTTGTTCCTTTGGTCCTCACCTTCGATGGATCAACAAATGAAATGTATTATCAAATTCAATATATGTGTCATCAAAACATTCAAATCATTTACTATAATACAATGGTTGTCCGCGTTGGCGGCCTTGTTGTTGGGCTGCGGTGTCTATAATTGAATGCATTATATTAGTTGGCAAAACATGTATGAAAAACAATCAATCAAAGTATACAAACCGATGTTTAAAACCTCACGTTCTGAATCGACCACTCCTCGGTGAAGTGACACCTTAAAGAATAAGCATTTATTTCATTAAAAATATGTTAATATTTAGTTAATTATTATTGAAAATATCAAATGTTTTATCAATTATATTAGGATTTGCATACAATGCAAATGATCCAGACACAAACAACTATTACACCAGCAATGACGACATAAATCAACCAATCCCAAATGGATCCAGGTTTAGCGTCCGATAGGAAACAGTGGCCCAAAACAGGAATCAAATCATCCGCTGTTTTGCACTAAAAATAAGAAAACAATTAAAGAGTATTTTCTAAAAATGCATTTCAAAAGTACTTTAGTTATATTATTCATCGGTTTCGAGCAATAGTGAAGAATTCCTTTTCTATTGAAGAATATGTTGTGTCCGAGGATTTTGTCCTTATCTCCAAAGTCAACGATGCCTTCGATATCCCTCTTAATGTTTTCTTCCATTGAATCGAGAAATAGTGAAACAATTCCTAAATTTTTGAGGCATTCATTCCTATCGGTCACTAGTTTTGGAGTGGCTTTCGTTGAATAACACGATATCTTGGAAACATTTTTGCGGAAAATAATGACCCAATCGTTGGTTCGTTTGTTCGAAGCCCTGAATATAATTGATTTGGGAGAGTATTTGGAGTCCATGTCAACCATATTAGCCGTCCGATCCGTACAAATGGTTATAATAGAAATGTTGTCACTCTTTATAATCAATTGAATTGAATATAAATATTTGAATGCAATTCAATGTATAATAACCTGATATCTGACATCACAGTCGTAATCATATCCACCGAATCTATTGACAATCTTCTTGGCATCGTTTGGGTCATTACTAATTGGTTTGAATGTGTTGACATCCAATTTGACCACATTTTTCTCAATCGTAAACTTCCATTCGTTGCCATTTTTATACATGAAACTCGCTTTCTTGACATTCGAGTAAAAGACTTGAATCCCATTTGATTGAGTGTAAGGAGTGATTAGATCACAATCTGTGCGCTGTTGGCATTGAATGGCAGTGAAGGACACAATGAATACAAAGATTGCAATCATTTTCACAAACAGTGGGACTGATGTAAAGATTGTGATAACTGTTGGAAACAAATATTGAATTTCCATTTAATTATAACAATAAAAATAATGCAAGATTTAATTCAAGCAATCATTTTTGTATCGCCAATCAATTAATTTAACAACAATTATTGTTGTCTCGCAATCCATGGATTAGTGGTTACATTCTTGTGATTGTTATTGTGGTATAAAAATACAGTTCACATAAAATTGTGTTAAAAATAATATTCTGTGTAATCATATGTAAATCCTAATTATAATTATTTAATGGTATTATGATAATCAACAATTCATTATTAATGATTCCAATAGAGATTTATAATTATTATAATTAATGCATTGCTATACATATTATGGTATTAACAGCAAATAAAGATCAATCTCTGCACACAACCCTGATTTCAAAGACAATGTTTTAGTGATTGTGATAATTGTTTATGTAATCAATGAATTAGTAATCAATAAGATTTTTGAGACAATTAGTTAATCTTATTGAAAATTTATTATCAATTGTATCATACAATTGTATGGACTCTTGTTTTGAGTGATTGAACTCATTATACAAACCATTCTTTTATAGAAGAGACACTTCTTATGGATTCAGTTATCATGTATTCTGAAGACAGGAATTGAGTAAAAATACATTTATTATTCAAATAGTAATTATAAATTTATATAAATATACAAAAGTATGAATAAGATTTTGATAAAATCAAATTGTAATTAAAGACAGAATTTATAAATTTTGTTAAATATAAATATATAGGAATAAAAATCATGAATTAGATTAAAAATTAAATTTTTAAAATATTAATTCTCTTCTAATTCTTGACTTTCGGGGACCGAGTCTTAGATGAAGTCTTGTCCGGACTCACAGTCTTAGGCGAAGTCTTGTCCGGACTCACAGTCTTTTGGTCTTTATATAAACAATTAATTGTTTGTAATATAGATATCAAACATAAAACACACCTTTTGTGGGACTTTTAGTCTTTGGTTTTTGAGTAGCGGTTCTTCTCTTGGTTTCAACCACTGGTGTCTTAACACTGGACTTTTCAGTCAGTCTCGACTGCGGTATCTTTAGTAAGGCTTTAGATTGTTTTATTGACTGCTTTTCTGTTAAAGTCTTTAGCAACGCTTCATTTTCTTTAGCTTTAAAGCAATGAATGGATTGTTATTTCATTTATTAGACAACAAAACATGTATTCAAACAATCAATACAAACACATACTCAGCCTTTTTATGGTCTCTTTCTTGGTGTCAATCGTGGATTCATTTGTCTCAACACTTGACGTACTCTCTATACAAATGAGTTTATTTTATATATTAATTTTTATAGATTTTATCAAATGTTTTATAAAATACTTCTTTTCTGTTGGATTATAAAGAGAGACAAAATGATAAGAATAACAACGAGAGCACCGATAATACCACCGATAATGTAAATTTCAAAGCCTTTTGATGACTCGGGAGGACCTCTCGCAGGGAAACATTCTGGTAAAATAGGTTCGAGATTATTTGATGTGCACTACAAATAAGACAATAATTTAAAAATATGTTCTGGAAATGCATTTTAAAAGTACGTCAATCTCGTTATCGATTACTTCCGTGCAATACTCGGGAAATCCGTGTCTATTGAAGAATATTCTGTGCCCATAGATAGTGTCACCCTGTTCATATTCAACCATACCTTCAATGCTCTTCTTAAGCGAATCTTCCATCGAATCCAGAAATAGTGACTCAATTTCTGCTAATTTCCAACATTTGGTCCTATCGTTCACTAGTCTTGGAGTGTCAATGACTTTCGGTGAATAACACGATATATTGGGAAACGATTTGTTTTGGCTATAAATTAAGACCCAAGGGTTGGCCATATATGTCGACGGCCTAAATATGATAGCTTTGGGATCGTATTGAGACTCTGTGTCTCCCTGTATGTCATCCGTACATTTGGTGACAATACGACCATTGCTTCCATTCTTCACAATCAATTGAATTAAATATAAATACTTTGAATGCAATTCAATGTATAATAACCTGATATCTGACATAACAATCGTATTTATATCCACCAAATCTATTGATTACATTTCTATCTGGAATACCTTCAACTGTTGTGTCGGTCATTTTAACTATACCATCGGGAACAGTAAACACCCAGCGAACTTCATTCATATACATCCAATTTTTACTGTCTATTTCAGAGGACAATACTTTAATTCCATTCGTTTTGTTATACTTTTCTAAGTATTGACAGAACGGCGAAAGACATTGAATGGGAGTAAAAGACATAATGAGTACAAGAATTGCAATCATTTTCACCAACAGTAGAACTGATGTAAAGATTATGATAACTGTTGGAAAATGAGAACTAATATTGAATTCAATTCTAACAATAATAATAAACAAAACATTAGTTTGAATTCAATTATTTTATAATAAAACAAAATAACAAATTATTGTTGTCTCGCAATCCATGGATTAGTGGTTACATTCATGTGATTATTATTTTTTATAACAATACAATTCACCCAAAATTCACAGCAAATCAATGCACCAAATCTTATTTGAATGGGTTTGAATACAGTTTGTTTAGCGATTAAATTGAAATTTTTGTATTTAATTAAAGAGAGAATTTACAATTTATTTGTTAAATATAAACAATATATAAATTTAAATTAAAAATTAGATCAAAGATTTAAACTAATATTGAATTTTGTATTTAATTATAACAATAAACAACAATATTATAAGATTACTTTGAATTCAATTATTTCATATTCTAATCATTACACTATAACTTTATTGTTTCACGTCACTAAAGCATCAATTAATACATTCACATTAATATTATTGTTTAACACAAATACACAGACAATAATGTGAAATATTATTAATTTTAAGTTACTTTTTGTTTATAATTTTCCTTAATTTATAAATAGTGTACAAAGTTATTTGGTTTTATTATTTTGTCGAATTTCGTGTGTTTTATTTGGTTTTATTAATTTTAAGGAAAATTTCGTGTTATTTGTTGGTTTAACAATAATTTTTTAAAAATTTCGTTTTATTTGGTTTTATTTTTCGTATAAACCAAATTGTTATTATAATTTGATTTAATATTATAGACGAAACATATTATGTAGGTAGCGGAATCGCTACAAATGGCCAAAATGTTTTTTGTGCACTTAATTTATCAAAAAACAATTAAATATACAATATTATGTGCAAATGCATTCACAAAACAGGTGATATGTGGTCACATTTTACAACTTAATTACGACCAAAATTTGTATTATTTTTAAATTTTGTGTGTTTTATTTGGTTTTATTTGTTTTAACAAATAACTTTGTACACTATTTATAAACTGCATAGACGTGTGGGTAAAGCAAAGATCGATCACTCGTTTGTATTACTGTAATACTCCTATTCTTGAGTTTCATTGCATTTAATATCTTCAACGAAACCATGGATTGAGAGTTGCATTTAAATTAATTAGAGACAAATAATTAATTCTAAATTTACATGTATTTTGTTATATAATCAGACAATTTATTATAAATACTAATAAACAACTTATTATGAATTTGATATTTCAGTTATTTTATAGATATGTTTATTGTAAAACTATGAAATTCATTGTACGGTTGTGTGAAATGCACGGCAAAGACATTAAACACAAAAACTTAATTCAATTAACTACTCTAAACCTATCATTTAATATTATATTTACTATAAAACTAAATTATATTATCAATCAAATTATCTCCACATGAAAGACATAAAGAAGTGTTGAATTCAGTGCCTATTAGTGGTGGGAATCGCGTCGTTATAATCGGTTGTGTTTTCTTCCGACGAAACGCTTAATAAATAGACAAATATTTCCATTAATTTTTCCCTCAAATAATGAAACAATTTTCTAATGACTGAAACTTCAGGCTTTGACTCCTCTTTTGCACTATAATAAAAGGGATGGCAATAGAGATATAGAGTACAGTACTTTCATTTCAATTGAAATTTATTATCTATACATAAAAGTTATATAAAATTCAATACTAATTTTTAAAATGTAAAATACTATTTATTATCTATACATAAAATTCATATTTTATAAAAATTTCTGATTTCTAAAATGTAATTTAAAATTAATCATAACTAATGTCATAATCACTTACGTAACAGTATTGACGTCGGATGTGCTCAAGTCCTGGTCTGACCTGTCATTATCAATGGTGTATCTCTTGTTGGTGTCGAGCGTTGTTTTGGTGGTCCTGTGGTAGAGGTCTGTCTGTGCGGTAATTTCGTCGACATTCTGGTCGGAAACGTCCGGTTTGTCGTAACCGTTGTCCGTCTGACTCTGTTTATCGGTTACGCGTTGTGTTGTGTCCACCGGTTTGTCCGTCTGATGTCTGGCAACTCGCGAGTGTTGCTGTGGTTGGTCTGCATCTCTGGTCGGATCTAACTTATCAGTGATTGCCTTATCTGTGATTGTTGTTAATTCTGTGATTGTATCGGTAGTCACTGTTGTGTCAATCGGTTTATTGGTGTTATTGTTTATATTAATTGGGGAACAGTTGTGAAGTGATAGTCCGAAAACAACAACAATAAACTTGATATAAGTTTTCATGATTTTGTATTTTATTAGTGAATATCTCTTATTTTAGTTCAAAACTTTTTTCCGATTTTGTTAATTGTTTTTATATATAAATGTGTTCATCAGTACCTCTACTTTGCTTCCACTGGTAATCAATTGTAAATTTGAGAACTTTAGATAAAAGTTATCATCAAAATAATTACACAATTAATTATATGTTTGTAATAAAAATATTACAATTGTTAAATCAATTTTTTGTATTAATTATGTATTTTGTATTAACATGTATTAATTATTTGGTTATTATTGTAATCCATTAGACGAAGCGGCTGACGAAGTTGGCTAAAATCCAATTATAAATGATTTGATAGCAAATGACAACTTAATTAGAAAATAGCAATATATTGTATTTTTTGTCAAAACAAAATATAAGTTAAAAATAAATACTTTAAATAATTGTTTTGATTGTGGTTTTCAGAAATGGATTCAATGTGTAATTTAATCTAAGAATTAATATATTTCGCACAAAATATTTAAAATTGTTTTATTATAATTTAATTACTAGATATTAAATAAAGACATTTATAATATCATTTATTTTTTATTTTAAGCTTCAATTCATTTATTTCAAATTTATTAAATTATGATATTGTAGAGTGGTCACTAAATGTCTACAATATATAAATTATCAATTTATTGTAAGTTATAATAAGTTAAAGTTATAATTTATAACTATTTTAGACAAATCTAACCTTTTATAAAATTGTATGGACTCTTGTTTTGAGTGATTGAACTCATTATACAAACCATTCTCTTATAGAAGAGACACTTCTTATGACTTCAAAAGTTATCATATATTCTGAAGACAACGAATTGAGTGAAAATACATTTAGAATTATAAAATTCTATTTAAAATTTAGTAATTATATAAAATACAATCTAAAATAATTGTAAACTCATATGAAAAACACGAATTGTAATAAATTTCTATATAAAAGTACAATATTCAATAAAATAAGATGTGATATAAAGTGTAAAATGAATAAAACGTTAATAATTTCTATAAAAACAGAATTCAGACAAATATATGGAATAAATAATAATATGAATGAATTGTATAGTGAGAAAAGAGAGCCATTTTTGGTGCATATTATAGACTATTTGTTGGCAATGTTTGGCATTTACTTAACGACGTTCTGCCGCTCGACCCCTACCCCTACCCCTACCCCGACCCGGAAATGCATTCACTGGAACTTTAAATGCAATAAATAATACAATTAATTGTTTGTAATATTCGTGTCAAACATTAAACACATACCGAGCCCTTGGTTCTGAGGAGGCGGTTGACCCCTACTCCGACCCCGACCCGGAGGTACATTCACTGGAGCTTTAAATACAATAAATAATACAATAAATTGATTGTAATATTCATATCAAACACTAAACATACCGTTTGGTTGTTGTGGTGGCGGATCATTGGGCTGCGCGTCACCGTTGTTTGAGTGCTGACTCGCGGTCTCTTCGTCTTCATCTTCATCTATATTTACACAAAACAATGTATTGATTGTAATATTCATATCAAACAAACCATTCATTGTAGGGAATACGCAAAACTTAATGCATCCACACGTATATACTTCAAGGGTTGTATGCAATTTTCCATTTGCGTCCACTGCATTGAAATATGCTACATCCTTGGCTTTATTGAAGTAAACAATTCAACACATTTTATTAATCAAACCAATGTATTATATTATGTAATTTTTTTAATCAAAATATTCAAATCATATACATTACCTGGAGTGATCTTGTGACCTGGATGTTTTTTCTCCCACTCCGTCTCTATAAATAAATATGTGATCTATTAGTTGGCAAAACATGTATGAAAACAATCAATGAAACCACACATACGTATTCTTCTACACTCCTTCGCTGAGAGCCATAATCGCCAATAGAAATATCCCTATAGTATATACAAATGATCGTTTATTTTGATGCAAAATGTGTTAATATTTAGTTAATTATTATAGAAATTATCAAATGTTTTGTCAATTATGTCTTGGTTTACATACAAAGATGGCACCGTAGACAAGGCCAACAACTCCCAAACCAATGAGGATTTTGGCCCACAATGCGAGATCAGTGGGCGCCGCTGTGGGCGGCGGTGGGAAACACTCCGGTAGCAAGTATTTCAAACTTGAATTGCACTAAAAATAAGAAAACAATTAAAAAGTATTTTCTAAAATGCATTTTAAAAGTACTTCAGAGCCGCCGAGACTTTGTGAGCAATACATGGGTTTGCCGTTTATATTGAAAAATATGTAGTAAACGAAGATTTTATTTCCAATGGCGATGTCGACGACAGCCTCGATATCCTTCCGACGCAATGGATCCATGGAATCGACAAATAGTTTGCTTTGATTCACATTCGCCCGACATTTGGTCTCATTCTTCACGAGTCTATCGTTTGGGCTTTTGTTCGGAGAATAACACCAAATGTTTGCAACAGTTTTGTTGTAAACGATAAGCCAATTGTCGTCTCTCTTATTCGCCCGGAATATGAGACCTTTGGGATTGTATTGAGAGTCGGCGTCGATGTTGTTGATAGTCTTGCCATCAGTACAGTTGGTCACAACATCGCCGGTGTTTCCGGACTTTAAAATCAATTGAAATTTATATTTTGAATGCAATTCAATGTATAATTACCTGATATTTGACATAACAGTCGACACCATTTCCACTAAATCTTTTGATTATGTTTCGGTCGTAATAAGTGCCAATAAATCCTTTATGGTCGAAGTCATTATTCCCGAAACCAATGTTCCATTCATAGCCTTTACTATACATGAAATACTTATCGTAAACCGTGGAGTAATAGACATCAATGCCATCGTATTTGCCATTCGTTTTAATATATTTACAATACTCTTTCGGTGGTTCGCATTGAATGGCATTCAAAGACACAATGAGGACAAGAATTGCAATCATTTTCACAAACAGTAGAATTGATGTAAAGATTGTGATAACTGTTGGAAAATGCGAACTAATATTGAATTTGTATTCAATTATAACAATAAACATAACATTAGTTTGAATTAAATTATATGTTGATTAAACACATTATTGTTGTCTCGCTATTTATAAACCAATATTTTAGTACATTATATTTGATATGACATACAAAAACGTATATTCAATGACCAGAAATTGATTGACAAATTATCATATTTAGTAATTAATAATTTTCAACATTTAAAATACTAAATAATAATAAAGAGAAAAATTAAATAAAAATGTAATTAAGATTCAATTTTGAAATTTTAATTCTTGACTTTCGGGGACCGACTCTTAGGCGAAGTCTTGTCCGGACTCACAGTCTTAGGCGAAGTCTTGTCCGGACTCACAGTCTTTCGGTCTTTATATAAATACAAAACAATTAATTGTTTGTAATATTGATATTAAATATAAAACACACTTTTTGTGGGACTATTAGTATTTGGTTTTTGAGTAGCGGTTTCTCTCTTGGTTTCAACCACTGATGTCTTAACAGCGGACCTATCAGTCAGTCTCGACTGCGGAGTCTTTAGTAAGGCTTTGGACTGTTTTAATGACTGCTTTTCTGATAATGTCTTCCTTAAGGCCTCATTTTCTTTAGCTTTAAAGCAATGAATGGATTGTTATTTCATTTATTAGACAACAAAGCATGCATTTAAACAATCCATACAAACACATACTCAGCCTTTTAATTGTCGCTTTCTTGGTGTCAATCGTGGATTCATTTGTCTCAACACTTGACGTACTCTCTATACAAATGAGTTTATTTCATATAAAATGTGTTAATTTTTATAGATTTTATCAAATGTTTTATAAATTACTTCTTTTTTGTTGGATTACAAAGAGTGTCAAAATGACAAGAATTACAACGAAAACACCAATAATAGCGCCCATTATGTAAATTTCGATGCCTTTGTGAGGAGGGGAAGCACTCGTAGGGAAACATTCGGGTAAAACAGGAAACCAAGTGTTCTCTGAATTACACTAAAAATAATATAATAATTTTAAAGTTATGTGTCTTCAAAAAAGACATTTAAAATACATTAATATCATCAACATAAGAATGGGAACAAAAGAATGGCATTCCGTCTTTATTGAAGAATATGTGGTATCCATAGACTATTTTATTAACTGCAATGTGAACGATGCCATCAATTTTCTTCTTAATCGAATCGTCCATCGATTCAATAAATTGTGTCTTATTTTGTAACTTTTGATTACATTCACTATAAGTCTTAACAATTGTTTTGGTTTTTGGGGAATAACACGATATTTTGGGATCATTTTTGCTGTAAATAATGAACCAATCGTTTATCTCTGACTTAAATATAACACCTTTGGGATCGTATTGAGAGGTATTGTCTTCACTGCCATCGGAACAGATGGTCATAATTGTGGTATTGCTTCCGGGCTTTGAAATCAATTTAATACAATTTAACCGTTTGAATAGGATATAAGACATTATAATGACCTGATATTTGATCTCACACTCGTTACCAGAGACACCAAATCTATTGATTATGGTCTTGTTATAGTTGTCCTTTCCATATGTAAGTGTTTCCATTGTTATAATTCTTTTTCCGACATCAAACTTCCATTGTTTGCCATTTTTGTACATAACATTCCCATTCAAGACATTCGAGAAAAACACTTGAATGCCATCGTATTTACCATTGGTTTGGATTAGTTTGCAATAATCTGGTATTGTTTGGCATTGAATGGCATTCAAAGACAAAACGAATAGAAGAATTGCAATCATTTTCACAGACAGTAGAATTGATGTAAAGACTGTGATAACTGTAGGAAAATGGCAGCAAATACTGAATTTGTATTTAAATATAACGTGAGTTATAATTCAATTGTTTCATATTATAATTGTTTAACGAAATATTGTGTCGTGAAATCAATGGATTAATGCACTCGTATTGAATCGCTTTATAAAAATAATTGTTTTATTTAACAGACAAAACATAGCAATAAGTTTGTGAAAAGAGTTTCATTCACCAAAAAAATATATTTTTAAAAAATTACTATACAATGTATAGTATAAAGTATTTGCATTGTATCTATTTTACTATCAATATTATTAGTTTATTTTTAAAAGTATTTATTTTTATTGTGGAACAAAACTAAACACTATTTATTATTATAAGTTAATTAGCAGTAATTATAACTATTTTTTTTGGTTACAGGTATTATCAGAAGCTCTCAAAGCCAGAAAATGAGTAGAATTATAATGCAATTTTGGCTCATCAGGGCTACGATCTCATGGGTATTATTAATTTTTTATTTTATTATTTGAAATAAATATATAATAAGGTATTATATTAACATATATTAAAATACATTATATTAAAGAAAATATTAAAATTAAAATCTACACAACCTTTGTCAAATTACGCAAATTAATATAAACTCCTATTTACACAATTTATTTATAATAATGATTGAAATTGAAGTTATATTAATTAGTTATAAAAGATATGTGAAGAGTAAATGAATTTATATAAATTATAATATATATATTAACAGTTAATTAAAAGTATCATTGATTTAGTATATAATATTGTAATCAATTTAAAAACAGTTATAAACATTCATTAAATTAGTTATAGAAATACAAAAATTATATATTTTATAAACATGTTTTGCATAACTGTTGGCAAACAAAATGAAATAAAGTATGAATTCAAACAATGCATGAAAACAAACAACTGGTCTATGATTTGTCTGTCGGGCCATCACTGGTGGAAGTGATGGCGGATGTGATGAAGGGTTGTGTCAGTGCATCGGTAGTCAAATGGGGAAAAGATGTCCGGAATCGATGGATTGCGCATCTATTATAGTGAACGATTCGTTCAGATATCGGCCACCACTGGTCACAGACCTCATTGTTCCTATATTTTCAATAACCATGTTATATTAACTAATCGTAATATTATGATTTTAAATTGTATTTACTATTAAATGAAATTATCTAAATCTTGAAAATAAAAGCCATAGAAGTGTTAAATTCAGTGCCTATTAGTGGTGGCAATCAATTATAATATTTGAGTTAAATAATTGCTATAATTGTAGTTTACATGAAGAGATTGAGTTTGCAATCAAAGAAATAATTATTTTCTACACGAATTGCACAGAATATTAACAAATTATTTTTATTTTATTTTAGTTAAGAAATATTAATTAAAGATCTGAAATAAATCTCATCTTTATTTTTAATATCAATTCATATAATTTAAATTTAATAAATAATTAAATTCAAACACATTTTATTATAAATATTTGACACAATTCTTACGCCTCATACAATTAAATGGACTCTACAATAGATTTCAATCAATTATACTGAACTCATTATGCAAACCATTCTCTTATAGAAGAGACACTTCTTATGGATTCAGTTATCATGTATTTTGATGACCAATAATTGAATAAAAATACATTTATTATTTAACTAATATTTACAATTTGCTAATTAAGTTATATAAAATGAAATTATAAAAACTTGTAAAACTTCATATTAATATTAAAACATAAAAATTAACAGATCAACAAATATAAAAATACGATATAAAACCGCTTCCGTATCGACTGTCCCATTGGTCGCACCGTTGGAAATGGAGACCAACTGTACGGGTGTGGTGTTGACCCGTTTCGGGCTCTTTGGGACAGTTTTGGCCTTAATTTTGATCTCATTTGTACTCTCTTTCTGATCTTCGCTTAAGACATGTGTGGCCACAGTCTCTATAAAATAAAATTATCTACAAATGAAAGACATAAAGCAGTGTTGAATTCAGTGCCTATTAGTGGTGGGAATCGCGTCGTTATAATCGGTTGTGTTTTCTTCCGAAGAAACGCTTAATAAATAGACAAATATTTCCATTAATTTTTCCCTCAAATAATAAAACAATTTTCTAATGACTGAAACTTCAGGCTTTGACTCCTCTTTTGCACTATAATAAAAGAGATGGCAATAAATACAGTAAATACAGTAAATGTATAGTACTTTCATTTCAATTACTTTTCATTGTCTAAATTTTAATGTCAAATATATTTTATCAATGTTGTAATTTACTGATTAATTTCTAAAATATGATTTAAACATTACTAAACCAAACATAATGTCTTAAATTTTAAAACAAATTTTAAATAATTAAATATCAAGCATTTCTTCTAATTATTGATATAAGTCTTATGTCTCATACGATTGTATGGACTCTTGTTTTGAGTGATTGAACTCATTATATAAACCATTCTCTTATAGAAGAGACACTTCTTATGGCATAAAAGTTATCATATATTTTGAAGACAGGAAATGAATGAAAATGTATTTATTATTTAAAATTTTCTATTTATATAAAATACAAAGAAATAAATTATAAAAATTTATACTAAAAAATTAGAATTAAGAAATATATCAAAAATAAAATTGCAAAAATTCAATATTAAATAAAATAAGTTGTAATATAATTTGTAAAATGCATAAAACAATAAATGTTTGATTTCTATAAAAACAGAATTTAGACAAATATATGGAATAAATAAAAATATAAATGAAAATAACAATATATCAACAAAAGTGTGTCATTTTTGGACTCAACTAATGGTCACTATTTCCATCGAGGCTTTTTCTCCGGCTCTTCCTTAGACTTAAGCCGCGCCTGATTTGAAGGACTCTTTAGATCTTTACATATAATAATCAAAATAATTAATTGTTTGTAATAATTATATCAAACACTAAACACATACCTTTTGTCACTGGTTTCCTACCACCGGGTGCTCTCGTTTGGGTCAGCGGTTGCTTAGCAGTGGTTTGTCCGGCATTTGGAGAGATGGCCGCTCCGGGCGATGCACTTTCACTTCTACTCGAATCCTGGCCTAAAAGTTAATCCATTAATAATAAACAAAACAATTAATTGTTTGTAATATTCATATCAATAATAAACACTAAACACATGCCTTTTGTCGATGGTTTCTGACTACTGGTGTCTTTCGGTTTGGGCAGCGATTGCTTAGGAGTGGTTTGGTCTACAAATTAATTGATTTATAATAAACAAAACATTAATGGTTTGTAACTTTCATTTCATACGAAACACACCTGTTGTCTGCTTTTGTTGCAGCTGAGCGGCCGGTGGTGTCTCCACTGGTGCCGCACCACTGGGTTTAGCCCTGTGTCCCGTCTTCCCTGCACTCACTGATGGAATACAAAATAATGAATTGTTTGTAAAATTGATGTCAAACACTAAACATACCGTTTGGAGAACTTTGCGGTGTTTGTTTTTTATCACTCCCTTCCTTCGGTGGAGTCGCCGCCGCATTGTTAGTCTCAGGATCTTTGCATATATTAAACAAAATAATTAATTTGTTGTAATATTAATGTTAAACACAATATTGAGCCGACAATTGAGTGGCTTTTTAGGTAATGTTATAAAACAATTAATTGATTGTAATATTTATCGCAACAGTTAAACATACCGGTTGTATGACTGGACATTTTGGGGGCAATACCTGTCTGAGTATCGGCTCCTCTCTTGGATTTGATAGATATTTGGTCAGTATTTGAAGGAAAACCAAAATTCTCGTCTTTACATATAGTTTCACAAAAACATTAATTGATTGTAAAATTGATGTCAAACACTAAACATACCGTCCGGTGGAATATAATGGATTGATTGCGGATCATTGGGTTCGTTGCCGTTTGACCAGCGTTTAAACCAAAATTCCTTCGGCTGTTTTGAACGTTGAGCGCTCGAAGCCGTACTCGCGTTCTCTCCGGCTTACATGTAATTACACAAAACAATTAATTGATTGTAAGATTAATGTCAAACACTAAACATACCGTTCGGTGGATTTGAATCATCGGGCTGTTGGTTGGGCTGACAAGACGGACACTTCCAGGGCACGTGCTTAGGGGCTTTACATACAATTTTACGCAATTATCAATTGATCGTAATATTCATATAAAAAACTAAACACATACCTTCTCTAAGCCCTGGTTTACGATCGGCGTGTTCTATAAGAACGAAACAACGCAAACGTTTGAACCAAACAATACGCGAACCTTTAAATAGAATTTCACAAAACAACGAATCGATTATAATATTAATGTCAAACATTAAACACACTGTTTGCGGGATTTGGTGGGTTTGTATCGGTCGCATGGTTCGCAAGAATTGCTGTGACGTCTTCATGCTTTGACGTAAATTTTTGGCGCAATTGCTTCCGTTTATTATCCCAATCTGTCTGCTCATCATCCAAAACACGTCTTCTATATTCCAATTGACCTGTCATTCAAATGAATGTATAATTAATTATGAGACTTATTTGTCACCAAAACATGCAAACAATGTACCTAAAACATTATAATTTACATCTAATTGTTCCTCCGTATGTCTGTCTTCGTCGCAATGCCCGCGCACTTCTTCACTGTCTCTTTCTATAAATGAATGCATGATTAATATGCGATGAATTTGTTGGCAAAACATGTATGAAAATCAAACAATACAAACCGTTTGCACTGATTTCAGCGGTGATGTCATAAGTAATGTAATGATATCTAATCAATAGATTGGTGTCTCTGTATTTGTCGAGTCTCTTCTGAAGACGCTTTTGTTCTCCTGTAAAAAGAAGCGTTGATTTCATACAAAATATGTTAATATTTAAGTA